AAACATTGAATTACTACTGAATTTAGTTTCCTCTTTATTTCTTTAAACAAAGGAAATCTCATGTTGTAGGACTGGCTGAATGGAACATCCCGAAAGGTGGAATGTTCGTTTGGTTGAAAGTAAATAAAATAAAGGATGTAATGGAATTAGCAGACAAGGAATGTATTTCACATGGGATTTTTGTTATTCCTGGTCATGCATTTAACTACGATCGCTCGAAGCCTGAACAGCATATTAGGCTCAGTTATAGTTTCTCGACGCCGGAAGAAATCGATGAGGTTCTTGTTTTGTCTGGTCCCTCATTATATCTCATTTATTTGCCGAGTTTTAGTAACATTTTAAATTTCAATAAACGACGACTTCTATATGAAGTTTGTTTTAATATTTCACTCATTTTTGCTTGGAAATTATTATTCGTGTTTTCTCTCCTTTCTTCAGGCGCTTACGATACTAGCTGAACTGATACGTGAGGAGATAAAAAAATTGGATTAAAAAGATGTGTTACTAATGTGTATCTCTGATTCGCACTTTGCAACTACATATTGTGATTTCCGGTGAGAATGAAATTTGAATATGAAACCCATTATAAGAATTACTGGCTGTAATTTACAGTACAATCTTGCGGTTACAAATTCTCAGATATAATATATCAATTATTTTCGCCAAATACAACTTCTTGAAATGATTTAAGATAACATCGTGTGTTTTAGTTCTAATCAAAGTTGAAAGATGCTGGCAGTATCAAGCCGACCGGAAATCCGGATTCCTGAAGTTGAGATCCACACGTGAAATAAAAGCGACTAATTGTTAATTACTTTACAATTTCACAAAACTTTATCAGAGCAAGATAAGATTTTCCATTCGATAACTTTTTGATGTAAAAATGTTGCAGACTCATAGATACGCGCTTATGTATATATATTTTTCTGATTTGTATTTTAGTTCTTGACTTTAAGACAATTGATAGTCTGACGAATTTCTAATAATGTATTTGAAGGAACGTAGGTTTCAAATTCGCTCGAAGAAATGATCTGCTTGTTTACTATTGGTAAACACTTCTTAAATTAATTGTATATAATAAAATGTTATAAAACATATTCAAAATTTAGAGCAGAATTTTTAATAAATAATTATTTTTAATAATCTTTAATTTCATCAACCTTCGTGTCATCAATAGTACCGTTTGCCTTATCATTTATTATTGTACCTTTGTAGCTGTTTTTAAAGGCAATATTTATCCTGGAAATTTGTCGAAAAGAGAATTACATTCATGAAAAGCGACGATATCATTTGCGTGACTTTTTCACTTAGTTTTTTTATATTCAATATTACAGATATGAGAAAATCAAAAAGTTATTTTTATGCAACATTCAAATATAAAATAAATATTTTCTTGGAAAATTAGAAATATGGGTTAAATTATTTTTGACATTAAATGATAATTTTAATTAGATGAGAATTTGCCCAAATTATTCGGATGCGTGTAGTCGATGCCTCGGGTCGAATCAAATAATTTTCATTGAGCCTCGGACATACGAACAATCCTGTAACTCGTCTATTTCGCTAGTTTACCATTTCATCGGGTCGACGTACAGAAATGTAACAGAAACGTGGCAACCATGTTAGACATTCATGTTTCGGCAACTATGTTTTCATTAGGAAAATGCGAAACTTGCCTGTGTTCCTTTAACTCGCTTTTCATTTGTCATTCCGCACAATTGGGTGAATTTGTAAACTGACCAAATCTCTCGTCGATTTCGAATGATTTTTGAATGTGTTGTGGAGATCGAAAGTGAGAAATGATTTTTGAACAGTTTTTTCCTTTTAACAGAGATGTTGGACTTTGTTTGTTAGAGAAAGTTTAAAGTGTCAATTTCTGTAATTGATTTCTAAATGATAATTTAAGGATCGTCGAAATCTATGAAGGATCGATTAATCTACAAGTTCACCGGCAATCAGATAGAGATAATTGGAGCAAAAATCAAATGAGTAATACAACTCGTGCAATCTTAACGTATATTATTAAATCGTTCATACTTGGTATTATTTTTATTAACAATTTATAACAATAAATGATTTCAGTCGTTGCAAATACAACTCACTCGTTGTCAGTGAATTCATATAACATTTCACTACAAGAAAGAATATTGTTACGAGTTATAACGAGTTGTCGGTATAAATTGATAACACGTTGATAACATGTAGATTTTTATTTACGTCGTAATTCTCTAAGATTAGTTTGCCCATGACTTTCGATTAATTCAGTTGAGATCCATGATATTCCACGACATTCCATATTGCAAGTTCAAATTCAATTTGTCAATTCCAGTTAACACGATAGAGTTAATAAAAGTTATTTCGCTTTGAAGAACTAACTTTATCATTTGACAGAAATTAACTAAATCGAGATAAAAATTAAATATTGATAGTGAACTAGAGGTGTTACTAATAAAAATTCGTCGACAATGGATTTTATCACATTCATAACAAAAATCGCGAAGAGACGAAAGTCGGGCATCCTTCGTTCGTATGGTAAGATCACCTAATTTCTATATTAATAGAATAATCTTTTTATCACTGTCATGCAAATATTTATCATTCCTCTGTCATAAAACCATGTTCGTTCTATATTTTTTACAAGTAACAAATACAATTTCTATGTACGAATTCAGCGAAAAAATTTGCGGAACATAAGAATGCTATAAGTCTAGCTAATGGAATGCCAAATGCGATGACATTTCCTTTCGAAGAGATTTCCGTAACATATAGAGGTGGTACAAGAATAAAATTAACTGGAGAAGAGTTGTCTACGTCTCTTCAATATGCTCCATCTCAAGGGTAATTTTTGAAAAAAAGAAAAAAAAAACGAAAAAAGCAGGAATAACACCTTGCTGTACAAGCATAAATTTTCTAGAATTGAATTTACAACTTATTTTTATATTTTACTTGTTACGTAATTTGTTTATTAGTAAAATAATTATACCGTGATTATGTGCTTCCCTTATTTTTCGATTTAAGATATTTACCACTACTGGAAAAAATGCGAGAACTTCAAGAACATTGGCACAAGCCAATATACAATGATTGGGATATAGTTCTTACATGTGGATCGATGGAAGGATGTAGCAAAGTTTTAGAAATGGTTTTAGAAATCGGTGATCCCATGATGGCTCAAGTACCCACTTACGATGGAATTCTAGGCGTGGTAAATTCTGTTTTGTTCGTACATTCCTGATGAAAGTTCCTTTTTTTTAAACTAATTATCTACTCTT